CCTGGGCAGAAGGGCTGGGTCCCCTGCAGCTGCAGCCACCACTCTCTCTGCCGGGCTGCCCTCTGGCCACTGGCCTCCCTTCTGGTCTCCTGCCCTGCCCAGCAAGCTCCTTTTATCTGCCAGCAGAGAGGTGGGGCCCTTGTGAGGTCACAAAGACCCAGGAGGATGGGGTTGGGTTCCCAAGGCAGCAGCAGCAGCACCCTCGGGATTGGCTGTCCTGAAGATGATGTCAACAGTCCCTCTAATCATGTGATTTACTCACAGAAACTTGCATTTTATATGATTTTTAAATATATATTTTTATTGGTGGCCTATAAATACCTGTCACCAATCCCTCTGATTCTAGGCTGGCGCTCCAAAAAGTTATCTTCCAGCATCTGCATGAAAAGGGAACTTTCCTAAGCTCTGAGCTAGGGGAAAAAATGAAAGTAATAATTGAATAAGGATGGGCACAGTAACACAGTAACACAGCCTTTGGACCCTTTGGGGGTCTCTCTCTCTCTCTCTGACTCTTTTTGGACATTTTTTCTTGTCCTTGGCATGAAAAAGATAGCATAGGAGCCAATTTAAGAAAGACCTAAGTGTTTGAAATACATACCATCCCTGCATTATCATACATGCAGCTGTGTTTCAAAATGCCCCCAGCCTTTGGAACTCCCTCCCACTGGAAGCCAGACTTGCTCCATCTTTGCTGTCCTTTCATAAGCAAGCAACGACCTTCTTCATCAGGCAAGCTTTCCCTTATTGACTGGCTGCCTGGGTTGGGATTTTGAATGGACTGTTGTGACTTATTGCTTTTAATGTGTTTTTTTGCATTGATTTTGTTTACTGTTTTTAGTGGGGTATTTGTTCCTGCAAACTCCTTTTTTCCAGCAGCTTTTAAGTGTGACTGTTAGGGACTGAACCTGCAACTTCCTGCATGCCCTGGCTAATTCAAAGGTGGACTACAACTCCCAGAAGCTTTCAACACCACCTCTGCTGGCCAGGATTTCTGGGAGTTGAAGTCCAAGGACATCTGGAGGCCCAAGGTTGGGAACCACTGGGTTACGTTATCTGGCTGTGGAGCCAGAGGTTGGCAGTTTGATTCCTTACTGTGCTTCCAGGGGGAAGAGACAACCTGTATGGCCTTGGGCAAGCTGCACAAAACCAAGTGTGCCCCCAGAATAACAGAATGGAAAACGACTTCTGAATGCTCTCTACCTAGATAACCCTAGAAAGAGCCACTATAAGTCAGCACTGACTTGACAGCTTATGAGAGCTGGGTAGATATCTCAGTGAGTTAAGCAGAGAGTGAGAGTTCAATTCCCCACTGCGCCTCCCAGAGAGAAGAGCCAGCCTGTGTGGCCTTGGGCAAGCTGCACAGTCCCAGGGCACCCCTGGAAGAAGGGAATAATAAACCACTCCTGTATATTTTCTATCCGGAAAATGCTGAAAAGGGGCCACCATGAGTCATAATTGACTTGATGGCACATCACCATCATCATTAATAATTGAATCTTCTTTGATATGGTATAATGCCTTTCCTGCCATTGGTCCCTGGGCCATTTTTTTGTTTGCGTTTCTCAAATATCAAATAAAGAAATAATTCCATTGTTGCTTAGTGGCTAACTTGATTAAGTGAACAAATTAAAACCATTCTGATGGATTCACATTCCTTTGCTTAACTGCTTAGCCTTCAAGTCAAGTGCCTCTAATATATAATATAAAAACTGCAGAGGGTAGGAGCCAAATCAAAAGAGCTCTCTCTCTCTTCCTTATCTTCTTTCTTGCTTCCTCACTCATTTATTTCCTTTCTTCCTTCCTTCCTCTGTGCCTGTCCCCTCCTTTTACAGGATGCCTGTACAATGCTGGTGGGGCCTTTAAAAAGAAATTGACAGGGGTACCAATCAATGACCTTTGTAAATATCAGGAGAGGTGATTCGTGAAATCGATCAAGCCAGCGTAGGTGATTCACATCTTCCGGAGTAGTGAGAGCAATCCGATGCAGGCGTCTCTGGGGAGAGATCCTGTTTAACTCCCAGTGGGACTGACTTCTCTCCGGATCAATAGGCCCTCGGTCCTTCTGGCCGAACTTTCTGAAGGAAGAGGGGGGCGCATGCTTTTGCCGCCTTTCAAAAAGGCCCGCTCATCCTGATGCAGGGAGTTTCCTCTGGACCCCAGTGGCACGCCGTTCCGCGGCCCCAAGGTCTCCGCGCCTCCGGAGCCAGACGGCCTTCTTCTGCTCTGCCACAAAGCCCGAAAGCCTGCAGGGGGCGCGCTAGAGCTACCTCTCTCTCTCTCTCTTTTTTTTAAACCAAAAAAGAAATCCCCCGACGCGGGCTGCACCGCCGCTTCTATCGGCGCGTTGCCGGTGAAGCAAGCGCTCGCCCGGGTCGCTCGCTGGCTCGCTCCCCGCCCCGGATTCTGCAGCACTCGCTTTCCTGCCGCTCTCCATTCCGCTACTCGGAGAAGGGAAAGGAGGACGCCAGCCCTGCCAGGCGCCCCCCGATGGCTCGCTTGGGGAGCCCGCCTCTCTGATCCCGAAGAGAACCGAGATCCAGCTTGGGATCCTGCCTCCTGCTTGCCCTAACCCCCCCTGCACCCCCATCCCCCTCAAAAGCCCGGGCTGACCGAGAAAGGGAGTCGATCGACTGGCGAGGCAGAAGCAGCAGCAGCAGCAGCATCGGGAGATGCCGGCGGCGCGGAGGTGAGCGGGCCGGATTTGAGAGAGAGAGATCGAGATCGAGAGAGATCGCATGATCCGGAATAGGAAGGGACTGGGGCTTTACCTTTTTCATGCCTTAGTCAAAGAACGAGAGAAGCCAAGCACCGTTTAGGGAACGTTCTCTCCCTCCCTCCCTCCCTCTCTCTCTGGAGAGAAGCCAAGCACCGTTTGGGGAACGTTCTCTCCCTCCCCCCCTCTCTCTCTCTTTTGGACTACAACTCCCAGAATCCAGCTGGATGGGGGATTTGGGGAGTTGTAGTCCCAGGGGAAAAAAAAACACACGTTTCTTCTTCCCGGGGACGTGGAGACTGGCAATTCCTGGGCTTTTCTATGTGGCGCGTGGTACACAGAAACCCTGTGAGGGTGGGGAGATTCCTAGATAAACTGGGGGTGATCGAAAGTTACTCAGTTGCGCCCAAACCCAGGGTCAAGCGTCGACATGCTGTACCTCCTCGGAAGACAAGTCTCCTGGAGTTCCGTAGGCAGGGCTCCCTCCCAGTTAAGAGAGTGAAGCGCTGGGATCCTACAGAGCAGGAGAATTTCAGGGATGTTATTTGTTCAGAGAAAGTCTGTTTCAAGTCTTTTGACTAGGTTCCGCAAGCAGGTTCTGTGCTGCACTGCTCTGTTGCAACAGCTTAAGGACTAGTCGGTTGAGTACAGCAAAAACTTTATGTTGTGCTTATATGGTGTCCAATCGCTTCCGACTTAGGGTGACCCTATGAATGAGCAATCGTTAAAATGTCCTGCTCAGCTCTTGCAAACTCAAGCCTATGGTTTACTTTAGGGAGCCAATCCATCTCATATTTGGTCTTCCTCTTTCCCTGCTGCCTTCCACTTTTCCCAGCGTTTATGGTCTTTCCAGAGAAATCCTGCCTTCTCATGATGTGCCCAAAGTAGGACAGCCTCAGTTTCAACATTTTTGCCTCCAGAAATAGTTCAGGCTTGATGTGATCTAGGATCCACTGAAAAAAAAGTCTTTTCTTTTTAGCTAGCAAAGTTCCCATGTGCCTCTGTGGGTTTGTCGGATGGGCTAGCAGCCAATCCTGCAGACTGTTGGTCTTACATGCCAGCTGCCTGAGACGATGGGAGATGTAGTTCCTCATATCTAAAGGGCTGGTTGTTTTGTCCTCATGAAACCTGGCTTTTTATATGTACTGTATATAGAAATCGATATACAACAGCACAGAGCCTTTTCCTTTTCCCCAAGTTTGTCAAAAGATGTAGTATTTGTTGCTTTTACAACTGATCTAGAGGTGCCAAAGCTGTTTGAGAGTCCTCAGAGCTCAGAAGTGTTGCTTTTTTGTGTACTACGGAACCCAGAATCCCCCCCACTCATCCTAGCTATAATCCTTGCTTCCAACAGTGTTTCCAAGCTCAAGGAAACCTACCTCCATAATCTGGGATGCCAAGAGTACGATACAGTAGTTAGTTAGAAAGGGTTGGCACTGGGTGTGGCTGAGGTTTAAATCCTTGCCATCTGAAGCCATGAATCCTACCAAGTAACTGCTGGATAGCTCAGGGGTTTACTGTGGTGCCAGAGGTTGGGAGTTCAATTCCCCACCGTGCCTCCTTGACAGGGGCTGGAATCAATTATCCATAGGGTCCCTTCCAGCTCTGCTGAGATTTACATACGCTGCACTGAGGTTCTTTGGAGGCAGGACAAGATATATGTAATGAATAATGGGTACCCTGCAGGTGTTCAGAAATACATTTTTTTTTAAAAAGGTCCCCTTCACATGTTTCTACTTTAGAAAGAGATCCACCCAAAGTTTCCTTCCTTCCTTCCTTCCTTCCCTCCTTCCTTCCTTCCTTC